GATTACCTCACTAATGTGGGTCAGGAAATTCCAGGCTGATTGGTTTAAAATTCCACTCTTGGGAGTGGCAGAAACCACAATTACTTAAGTATTAAGTTTAGGTTTGGTATTTTGGGCTTTTAGCAGAAGTGACACCATATTGGGCTTGTGGCTTTTCTTTTTAACATCATCTAAAAAATGAGAATAAAGGACCTATTCCTAAATTAGGGGAATTAAATAAGATCAGGAACACAAGGTGCTTAGAACAGTGCAAGATACATGTTAAGTGTTTAATAATGTGTGATTGACTGTGATAATTTCTAGCACCTAGTATGGCCAAGCACATAAGAGTTTCATAAGTGACTAGTTTGTTAAATGGGGGTAAAAAAGAAATTTCAGATCAATCTGGATAGGTTGATATATTTTTGTATAAATGAAGCCAATATGGTTATACAGACTCATACAGACTTAAAACATTGATTAGGCCTAGAAAAAGATGTAAGAGGATATAGAGGGTGTCCCCCAAAATGTATATACACTTTACAACTGATAGCTCAATTGACATTTCTCTTCAGATTTAATTCATTGGAATTAATAATTATTCAGTGTGTATACATTTTTTGGGGGGATACCATGTATACTAACTTGTTGACTGTGGTCAAATTTGTACAATAAAATTTTAAAATATATATATTTTTTATTTCAGGGAGGAAGGGAGAGGGAGAGAGAGAGAGAAACATCAATGATGAGAGAGAATCATTGATCAGTTGCCTCTGTGTGCCTCCTTTTGGGGACTGAGCCCACAACCCAGGCATGTGCCCTGACGGGGAATCAAACTGTGACTTCCTGGTTCTTAGGTGGATGCTCAACCACTGAGCCAGGCCAGCCAAGCTGTGTAATAGGATTTGAGGGAACAGATTTTTGTTTTGTGTTTTACTTTATATACTCCTTATTTAAAAACCAAAATTTTAGAAAAATAAAGCTACTGACATATTGTGAATATAGCAGTAGATGACAAAGTTCAGTTTATTACAATTTTTCCCTTCTAAAAATTACTGTCCTATCTAAAATATTTTCATTCAATTTATAGTCTCTTTCTTTTAGTTCTGAATCTGCCATAATTTGCTATTAATCTTGGAAAAAATCAGTTCCTTGATCTGCATTACAGTTTCCTCACTCATAAAATGAATTGCACAATCTAGACAATGCTTCTTAACTAGTGGACTATGGCATCCTGGTGTCCTGAATGTGGGTGAGAAACTGACTCCTTCTGCAACGAGGCAGTTGAGAGAGGTCAGGGGAGGTCAGAACTGCTGGGCCAGTACCTTTGTCCATGAGCAGCCTTGTTGAGGGATCCTCAGGGCAGCATGTGCTGAGTAGTCTGGGGTGTATGCCAAGCACTGTAAACAACAACCAACACTTAACATTCTTCTGTCTGTGCATGGCCAAGGATACCTGCCACATGGACAGCTATCTGCAAAGCCCAACATGGACCCGACATCGTGGAACGAATGCACAAGTTTCCATTCTTGGTGCCCAAGGGGGACAGCACACAGCTCCAGGGGCCTGAGAGAGAAGCCTTGACTGAGTGGGGTTCCCGGTGGGCTCAGCTGCCAGCATTGCCCTTAATATTTGTCCTAATATATAGTGGCTATTTCTCTCTCTCTCTCTCTCTCTCTCTCTCTCTCTCTCTCTCTCTCTCTCTCTCTCTTTAGAGAGAAAGGGAGAGAGAAACATTGATTTGTTGATCTTCTTATTTATGCATTCACTGGATGGTTCCTATATGTGCCCCAACCAGCAATCCCAGTGCATCTGGACAACATGCTCCTGATATATCCAGCCAGAGATAGTGGCTATTTCCATCTCGCTGTGACGATGAACTCTTTTTTTTTTTTTTTTTTTTTTTTAATATATTTTATTGATTTTTTTTACAGAGAGGAAGGAAGAGGGACAGAATTAGAAACATTGATGAGCGAGAAACATCGATTAGCTGTCTCTTGCACACACACACACACACACACACACACACACACTGTGGACGTGCCCACAACCAAGGTACATGCCCTTGACTGGACAAACCTGGGACCCTTCAGTCCGCAGACCAATGCTCTATCCACTGAGCCAAACCGGTTAGGGCATGATGAACTCTTTTAATGGCCCCCAGACTAGCTATTGACAACATATGCTAGAATTTCATTGTGGAAATCTTGATATAAAAATGTACTATTAGTTTGAAATTCATCTGCATGTTCATATAAAATTTCAACATTACATTTGTCAATAAAAGGAGTTGTTATTCTTTAAATATAATTACAATTGTAAATTTTGAATGATGGTATAACATGGTTTTAATATTTTATCACCCACTTATGCGATCAGAGTCCCTTACTGATAATTACTATTCATAATATGAGAAGTTTATCATTAAAAAGTCGAGATCAGAAACTGCATAAAGCCATTTCAACCATAAAACCTAATATGAAAACATATTCATAGGAACAAGTTCAAAATGATCATGAAAAAAATGTGGAAATTTTTTATTTGAATGTTTTATTCAAAATGAATTTTAATATATTCTCTAATACATTGTATTTTATTTAGCATAATTATATAATTTAAAGAAAATGTTATGAATTTTTTAACCAGTCATCATTTAGATGTCTCCAAATCTGTTTATGCAACCTGTGTGCTGTACACAAAATAATGTTTTCTGCATATGTTGTGATATGAAAGAAGTTGAAATTTATAAAATCTGTCTTCTACTCTATCCAACCTTAGGACTGGCATTCGTGTTCCTGGATGGAAGTACTTAGTATCCCATCTCCCACCATTTTTCTAATTAATATAAGAATTTACTGCAGCCGAAATCGGTTTGGCTCAATGGATAGAGCGTTGGCTTGGGGACTGAAAGGTCCCGGGTTTGATTCCGGTCAAGGGCATGTACCTTGGTTGCGAGCATATCCCCAGTAGGGAGTATACAGGAGGCAGCTGATCGATGACACTCTCTCATTGATGTTTCTAGCTCTCTATCTCTCTCCCTTCCTCTCTGTACAAAATCAATAAAATATATTTAAAAAAAAAAAGAAATGATCATAATTAAAAAAAAAGAATTTACTGCAATTCAAAGAAGAAAGAATAATACAAGTTATTGATTTAAAATAATTGGTTAGAAAACACCTAGACAACATGTCATAAGTGAAGTCAAGTGATCAGTTTTCACGATCACCCTTGCAGTTTCTCACTAGGTACTTTGGTGTGAATGCCATCTTCCTAAGGTCTTTAATGTTTCGTTTTTCTACAACTCAGAATTGAATCAGAAATCAAGTTATCGCCCTAGCCAGTTTGGCTCAGTGGATAGTGTGTCAGCCTGTGGACTGAAAAGTCTCTGATTCGATTCCAAGATGAGCATATGCCCATCCCCAATAGTGGGGCATGCAGGAGGCAGCTGATAAATGTTTCTCTCTCATTATTTAGTATAATGATGTTTCTATCTCTCTCTCTTCCTCTCCTTTCCTCTCTGAAATAAACAAAAATATATTTTAAAAAAAGAAAAAGAAAAAACAAAATCAAGATATCCATGACTATTCATAGTAAATTCAAGAAGCCTTCATATGTTAAGGAGACCCTAAGGGTTTGCTGGGTATCAGAGTGCCTGGAAAGCAGAGTGCCTAACAGTTTGCTTGTTGATTCTGGAATCAGAGCAACAGGAGGCGGCTAGTTTGGAGGGTTATTTCATCCAAGTTACATTAAGGACTGGTGGCTGGTTTCTGCCCTGAAACAAAGTACCTTTTGTTCCTGCCTGCCCAATAAAACACCTGTAATGCTTGGGCAATGTTAAATAAACATTAACAAATTTTTATTTTTTGTGCTCCTTTTTTTCCAAGTCCCAAGCAAGCGATTCCCTCTATTTGTCAACACAAACTGCGTTTTAAACAATTTACAAAGTAAGTGATTAAATTCCTAATCTTTCTTATGGTTAGGGATACTTGTCAATTACACACTTTCATCAGCATCTTTGGGCCGATAGATTAACTGAGGTTTCTTGAGTGTTGGTTATTACCAAATCTTATCCCTTCATTTAAAAAATACTAACACTGGAGCTCATTTACGTCAAATGATTTAAAATCCCTTAGCTGGGCCGAAAAAAGGAGTACATCTCCATTTTCTGGCTCTTTCATCGATCCTGTTCATTATGCTTCACAACAACACAATTAGAAGGATTAAGGTGTAAATTACTGGCCATCAGGTAGCATGCCTTGCTGCCCCACGTTTAAGGTCTTGAAAATCATTCAATTCCCTCAATTCCATCCCCAGGAAAAGTTGCTTCAGCTCTTCAGCTTTCCTAGTCACTAGGAAAATGTTGGGAAATACTGCCGACAGATTTGAGATCCGTGGGAACCTAAGGAATTGACAGTCCCGCCGCAGGTCCTTAAGGGGAAAAGCTGTGTGTGAGCCCCGTTTGGAGGCCTCTCCAAAGGCTCGGGATTCACCTACGTCGGTGTCACAGGGGTTTTTCGTGCAGGCACTCGCGGTGGGCGCCGCAGGCACAGAAACCGGCCGCTTGTATTTGGGAAAAACGCGAGAAGCCGAGGGGCCGAGGGGCCGAGGGGCCCTTCTTGCGACCTTAAAGAACAGGGGGAAACAGCGTGGGTTCATGCAGGCTCGGGCAATGGCATGCATTCGGACACTGAGACCCACAGGCCTCCATGGGAGAAAGAAGAAAGAAGCGCGAGAAGAAAGGAAAAGGCCCCTTTCTCCCGTGACGCGCGGTCACGAGAAGTTCTCCCGACGTGTGCGCACGCCATTGGCCGAGCACGGGCAGGCGTCCCCCGCAGCGGCCCCGGCGCGAACGGCGGCAAGGGCGGCGCCGCGCTGGAAGTTGAGGCGGCGCGCGCGCTCCCGCGGCCGGCCACGCCCCCGCTACCAGTCCGCCAATCCGCTCGTCCGGTGCCTCTTTGCGCCCGGTTAGCCACGCCCCTCACGCAGCGCGCCCCTCCTCCACCGGGTCGGCGGCGCGCGGAAAATGCGTCACGTGACGCCTGGCCCCGCCTCTTCCTCTCGGTCCCATATTGAACTCGAGTTGGAAGAGGCGAGTCCGGTCTCAAAATGGAGGTAAAACCGCCGCCCGGTCGCCCCCAGCCCGACTCCGGCCGTCGCCGCCGCCGCCGGGGGGAGGAGGTATTAGGGGGAGAGCGGGGGGTTGATGGGTAGTGGCCGGCGTGGGGGGCCTGGCTCGGTGGGAGCGGGGAGGCCGGGTGGACGGGTTGGCGGTCCCGCGCTCTGCGTGGAGAAGGGCGGTGGGAGGGGGAAGGGAGCGGGCCTCGGAGGCCTCCTCGGGGCCTCTCGCCCGCCTCGTTTTCTTCTCCGGCTGCACAGGTGGCCCTTTTTGGAGGCGCGGCGTGGCCGGGGAGACCTCCGGGTGCGGCCCGGCCCGCCGGCCGCGCGGCCTCGGGTTTGAGGCCGAGAGCGGCATGGCGGGCCTGGGCGGGAGCGGTTGGGAGGAGGCGGTGGGGGAGGGGAGGGGACGGCCAGGCACATCCGGGAGAGCGAGCAGGCGGGCGGCGGCCACATTGACATTGATCCGCCGGCGCCGCCGCCGCCGCGTTACGAAATGGCGCATTGGCCCGCAATGGCCGCCGCCCGAGGCCGCCGCCGGGAAAGAGCGCGAGATTGGAAGGGGGAGAGAGGAGGCGGCCCGGCAGGAAATGCCGCAGATGGCCTCGAGGCTTGGGCGCAGTGCTTTTCCCGAACTTAGGGTGGCAGGATTTTAGGCCTTACAGACGAAAGGAAATAAATTAAAATCTATTTTCCTCGCAGCATCCAGTTAATAAAATTTTAAAATGTTTGCTGCGATGAAATACTTTCTGATCTGTCCTTGCTAAAGTACTTAAAATTATACATCTCTTGGCACTCTTATACAACAGGAACTTAAAGTTTTAAAGATCTTTTTCCTCCCTCATGGCTCTGGTTGTAGTTTTGGGATTTTTATTTTAGCGGACTGCAACCACAGTTGCATTTTTCTTGTGCCTGAGATAATTTAATGTGAGGCATAGTTGTATGATTTTTTTAAGTCATTTTGTTGTTGCTTATTAAATGCACTTAACCAGGACTTGAAAAGATAATAAGTGAATTAAATGCTGTAGGCTATTAATCATTTAACATTTTTTCCATAGCATATGACAGTATCTTCCTTATACCTTAACAACTGTACCATTAGAAGACCCTGAAGCCATTAGAATGTAAATGTGAGCCCTTTTAAGTAAGGACTTGGGATGAAAAATATCTTAAATGCATGGATTAAATGGCAATTCATGTAATTGATTAAATTGTAAAATAGTTCAGTCCATATCCTTAAGGAAAATCTCGTTTTTTTCAAGCAATAAATTTTATACTTAAATCCAGTTTGCCCTTTTTGTGACCTTACAAAGATACATGGTGGATTTTTGTGTGTGTGTGTGTGTGTGTACATATATGTATGTATGTATGTATGTATATGTATATATATAGATTTCAGAGAGGAAGAGAAACATCAATGATGAGAGGGAATCATTTGATTGGCTGCATCCTGCACTTTGGACCCAGCCCACAACCCAGGCATTGTGCCCTTGATCCCTTTGGTCTGCTGGCCGATGCTCTATCCACTGAGCCAAACCAGCCAGGGCAATGGTGGATTTTTTTAGTTTTGTGGGGAGCGACATGAATTCGCCTTTTAAAAAATTTATCTGAGCCAAATTGACAACAGTGTCAGGAAGTAAGGTTTTAAATGTTTCAGATAATGGTAGTTTTTCTATTTTTTTATACAGTTAGAATTAAAGAGGGAATGTAAGGAAGATTTTTACATTTCTTAAAAATACCACTCAAAACTTTTTAAATTGTACCTCAGAGCTTTGGTTTGAAATTAATGCTTGACATGAGAAGAAATGGCATGGGTGAAAAACTGCTTCTACAATATTTAGTTTTCTTGGTAGCAACATCAGAAATAATCTATTCCCAAGCCCCTTTGTAGCTTAAAATTAAGGGATTTTTGATTTTGGGATTCCCTTGGACTAAAATGTAGTTGAAGTGATGTTGGCATTTAGAAGGATGGTTATAGGTTTTCTTGGTATTTTGGTTCCTTTATTAAGTTGATTTGTATGCTCCTACTCCAGTTTTTAACTGGACAAAGTGTTAGTACAGAAGTTGATATTGGGTTTATTTGTAGCAAAGTAAAAGGCTTGTGCATCTTAGCAATTCACTAAAAGATATAAATAAAATGTGTTGGTTTTTTTTTCTCAGGGCCATGATCCTAAGGAACCAGAGCAGTTGAGAAAACTGTTTATTGGTGGTCTGAGCTTTGAAACTACAGATGACAGTTTAAGAGAACATTTTGAGAAATGGGGCACACTCACAGATTGTGTGGTAAGTTACTAAAGGACAAGAGAGTTTTTAGAGAGGTAGAAAGGCTTGTGGAGAAGTGTTTCAAAGGTTTAAAACTCTTTATTTTGTAGGTGATGAGAGACCCCCAAACAAAACGTTCCCGGGGCTTTGGCTTTGTGACTTACTCTTGTGTTGAAGAGGTGGATGCAGCAATGTGTGCTCGACCACACAAGGTTGATGGACGTGTAGTGGAACCAAAGAGAGCTGTTTCTAGAGAGGTATTTTAATACCATGTTGTATAATGTGAGATTGTTGTAAAACTTTGCGTTGGTTTTTTTAAACTTGCATATTTCTTGTAGGATTCTGTAAAACCTGGTGCCCATCTAACAGTGAAGAAAATTTTTGTTGGTGGTATTAAAGAAGATACAGAAGAATATAATTTGAGAGACTACTTTGAAAAGTATGGCAAGATTGAAACCATAGAAGTTATGGAGGACAGGCAGAGTGGGAAAAAAAGAGGATTTGCTTTTGTAACTTTTGATGATCATGATACAGTTGATAAAATTGTTGGTAAGTAGCAAGTCGACTACACTAAATTTGCTAAATTACTTATACTGTATTGTGCATAAAGTATATTGTTCAGTTTTCATAAAGTGACTACATCCGAATCAAGAAACAAATGGTAACATCCTAGATATTTAATGTTATGTGTAATGCTAAAGGATAGCATTTATATGTGCTTTTTCAAACACCAAGTAACTTTTGTTTGTTTGATTTAAAAAAAAAATTTAGTTCAGAAATACCACACTATTAATGGGCATAATTGTGAAGTGAAAAAGGCCCTTTCCAAACAAGAAATGCAGTCTGCTGGATCACAAAGAGGTGAGTAATACCATACATACTTAAACAATAAATGTGAGTGGTGTTTGTAAGATTCTTAAAGCTCTTCCTTGCCTGTGTTAAAGGCCGTGGAGGTGGATCTGGCAATTTCATGGGTCGGGGAGGAAACTTTGGAGGTGGTGGAGGTAACTTTGGCCGTGGTGGAAACTTTGGTGGAAGAGGTAGGATGATTATCTTATTTCTAAGTATGTGTCTTCCTAAAATTTATTGGTAGGCTGAATGTTACACTTTTTAAATTAATGCCTTGCTTTTCCGCAGGAGGCTACGGTGGTGGAGGTGGCAGCAGAGGTAGTTATGGAGGAGGTGATGGTGGATATAATGGATTTGGAGGTGATGGTAAGTTTTTTTAAAAATTCATATTTTTTCCCCCTGCTTTATAGACAATAAGAGTTTTTGTTTTTATTTTTTAATTTCAATCAAAATTGAATGGTTTGACAGTTAAAGTATGGTTCTAAACTAATATCATAAAAGGCTAAACTTATTTCCTCCTAAGAATTTAACAGTAGCTAGTTATTTTGGCCAATTACATTTATTGTACTAGTTAATGAAGCTGGCATAATATCTCAGGAGTCTTCACTATTTTCTTCAGTGAAATTTAAAGAATTAAAAATAAAATTTTAATATTAAAATATATTTAAGCATTTATCTTAAATTCTTACTAGCCCAGATTTCTTGGTTCTAGTAACCAAGCTTTAATGCTAAATCAGTTCATTGACTTATTTTCTAGTGGTTTAAATGCAATACAAACTAGAATTCAGTTACATATTTGCTTTTGTGACCCAATTTTTTTTTAGGTGGCAACTATGGCGGTGGTCCTGGTTATAGTAGTAGAGGAGGCTATGGTGGTGGTGGTGGACCAGGATATGGAAACCAAGGTGGTGGATATGGTGGCGGTGGTGGAGGATACGATGGTTACAATGAAGGGGGAAATTTTGGTGGTAAGTTATCATTTGTTTTAAGTGTTCATTATTTATAGTTCCATTACAAATGTTTAAAAGTGTTAAAACATAACATTTGGTCAAATTTCATAATTTGCAAAATCAGAAATTACTTAATGGGTAATTGAACTAAAAGTTTTTTTTTCTTTTTTTTAAAATATATTTTATTGATTTTGTACAGAGAGGAAGGGAGAAAGATAGAGAGTTAGAAACATCGATGAGAGAGAGTCATTGATCAGCCGCCTCTTGCACCCCCCCCAACCGGGGACATGCCCTTGACCAGAATCGAACCTGGGACCCTTCAGTCCCCAAGCCAACGCTCTATCCATTGAGCCAAACCGGTCTCGGCTAAAGTTTTTTTTTTATTGTGATTATCAGTTGTTTATCCAGGTTAAAATTGCTTAGTTTACTAAAGCTAAGCAATTTTAAACTGGACAAATGGGAATTGTAAATTGTTAAAAATGAATAATAGGGTGTCATTTGGGGTCTAAATGAGAAAATCACTTGAAATCTCAGTGTGTCAAAGATGCATTGCAGACTATAAGCAAGACTGCATTATTACTCCATGACACTAAACTTTGATACAAAATGCACTGCATTTTGGACTATTAATGTATCAACAGTAAAAGATTTTTATTAAATTAATTTAGAATAACTTCTATTGTTTTAAAAGTTGTAGTACATCAGAATTAGAGTGAATCAAACTGACAATTTTGGTTGTGTTAGTGGTATGTAGGAGAGAATGTGCTGGAGTATAGCATCAAATATAAAAAAAATATGACAGCTATTTTGATACATGCTCTTGGAACCATTTTTCACTCCTTTTCATCCCTTACCCCATGTCTGAGCTGTGCTAGTGTGCCTCAGTTTGTGGTGTAGAGAATTTGGTAGCTCTCAAATCTCTTTTCAAGGAGTTGCAAGTTAGTGTTGTAGAGTATGCTATCATGATTGTTGTATTTTAGAAGAGGGAATTAATTGTGCAAATTAACCACAAATGAAAAACCTTTGTAATTTCAGGTAACTATGGTGGAGGTGGAAACTATAATGATTTTGGAAATTACAGTGGACAACAGCAATCAAATTATGGACCCATGAAGGGGGGTAGTTTTGGTGGAAGAAGCTCGGGCAGCCCCTATGGTGGTAAATAATATTTCTCATTACAATTTTTTTATAGCCTTCTTAATTTACTAATTCATGTATCACATTTCTTTTAAAACTGTTAACCTGTTTTATTTCCAGGTGGTTATGGATCTGGTGGTGGAAGTGGTGGATATGGTAGCAGAAGGTTCTAAAAACTCAGCAGAAAAGGGTAGGTATAATTTAAATTTTTAATATGATGATAAAGCATATGTGGAACTGTTCACTGAGTGTAATAATTTTTTTATCCTGTATTATTCAACAGGCTACAGTTCTTAGCAGGAGAGAGAGCGAGGAGTTGTCAGGAAAGCTGCAGGTTACTTTGAGACAGTCGTCCCAAATGCATTAGAGGAACTGTAAAAATCTGCCACAGGAGGAACGATGATCCATAGTCAGAAAAGTTACTGCAGCTTAAACAGGAAACCCTTCTTGTTCAGGACTGTCATAGCCACAGTTTGCAAAAAGTGCAGCTATTGATTAATGCAATGTAGTGTCAATTAGATGTACATTCCTGAGGTCTTTTATCTGTTGTAGCTTTGTCTTTTTCTTTTTCTTTTCATTACATCAGGTATATTGCCCTGTAAATTGTGGTAGTGGTACCAGGAATAAAAAATTAAGGAATTTTTAACTTTTCAATATTTGTGTAGTTCAGTTTTTCTACATTTTAGTACAGAAACTTTAACAAAATGCAGTTTTGAAGGTGTTTCCTTGTGAGTTAACAAGTAAAGAAGATCATTGTTAATCACTATTTTGTATGAATTTTGCTAAAGTTAACTGTAAAGAAACACCTACTGACTTGCAATTTAAGGGGAATCTATTCTCCCCATTTCCAAACATGAAATGAATGGGCTCTGATATGTGGAGAGAATAGATATTTGTATGTTTGCAATGTGTGTTTTAGATAAATAGAATTGGGTATTTAAATTAGCATATTTGTGACTCTGATGACATTAAGATTTACCTTCAAATGAAAACACTCAAAATTCCTATTTGGTTTTTGTGCATTTTCTTTCCAAATGTAATCATGATTTTAGTGTGTTGCTTTGCTGAGAGTCTGAGCTGTGTTCAGAGAACATCTCCATTCTGCATTCACCTTGGTCACGTGTGAACTACTGCCATAGTTTTATTTGGGTGTAAAGAATGTCTGCTGCTGCCCTCTGTTTAAATTCTGGAAAGGGGTAGTGGATGTTTTTCCTTCCTCTTCCATTATAAAACCGTTTTTTAAGACTTCAAAATATAGGACCACTAAGCCTGCTGTATTTGAGCAAATTGGTGGCTACCTTTTTTTCCTTTATAAAGCACAAGAGGCCCATAAATATTTCGTTATTTTCCTTGGTTTAAATTTTTTTTATACAAGCTCTCAAAGCAAGAGAATAAAAACCATGCATTGTTGAACTCTTCACTGGCTGGCATGCTTTCCTGTTTGTACCCTCTACATTTTACTGGATGAAACCAAGGAGAGTCTAGATATAATTGGCCCAAATGACATAATGCAACAGAAGTGTACCACAGTTGCTTAGTATAAGCTTCCCACTTCCCAAAGATCTGAATTCAAATTTGGATTGTCTGAGTTCTTATTCAAAATCCCCCCAAAATACTGTCATTCTATGTGTATGCTTAAACCTAAATCATGTTGGAATGAGCTTATTTGTTTGGAGGACCCGGGGTGAGAAGATTTTTAGATGATAAGGTCATATACATATATATATAAAAAACAATGTCTACTGTTTTGCGCCAGCGTAGTGCTTACAATTTCATTCAAACCCTAAGTATGTGCCCTGCTGTTGTTATTTCTTTGGCAGTTGAACATTGAATTCAAGGTTCTTATTTTTGTTTTAAGAAATACTAAGCAAAACAAGCAATAAAAAGGGGAGTGGGGCGTGCTAGTGTTTGCATATGCTCTCTTGTTGCTCTAATTCTGTGCCTCTGTGCATTAATATTTGGATGCATGCAATGCCAGCATGGAAATCGGTCTTCACAGATACTGCAGTTTTCCAGAAAACACTCACAAACCAATAAATGTAACAGACAACATGACATTTGTTAATGGACATATGTGAATAAGCAGCGTAGAAAATAGGCAAATATTAGTAAATGGTTAAGTCCTCACAACTTCAAGTGTGGTTATATAAATGGACACTGTCAATGTTTATAACTTAAACCTGGGTACCTGGTCAAAATAATGCTTGGGAAACATTAAAATTGAGCTAAATTGTCTAAAGTTCTTTTATTCATATATAATAAAGGTTGAAGGAATGGGGGCGATTAACATTTCCTGTTTCTATTTTGTGAAATTGTTTGACACAACCTTGACAGTATCCTTTAATGGCATATGAAGTTAATTAATTGTACTATTAACAAACTTTCTGTGTTCTGGAACTAGTTTAATAGTGAAAATATATTTTCAGTAAGTGATGTTTGCAACCTATAAGCAGGTGAAATCTGTGTATGTGACCTGTTTATAAGTTGTATTTAGCTTAGTTCTTGTGAACAGTGTGGAAAAGTAAGCCATGAGGAGAGCGATTTAACCAGCTTTAAAGGACCTAAAATGTGCTTTTTGAGCACAGTGTGGATCAAAGGAGACTCACTAAGACAGGACTTCAGCAGCCTTTTGAGTATGGACAAGTCAGCATAAATAAAGAATGACAAGGCAGCAGCAAGAGCTTCAACTGAGAAGTGAAGGCATAAAATACTATGGTGATAGTGAGCAACTTTTCAAAAGCTAGTTAAACTGCTTATTACAACTGAAATATCGAAGAAAGTCTAGCAGGAAGGAGCTCTTCGCCTTTTGGAACATCATTGAGAGATAGTTGCCACAGTCACTAGGTCTAGCATTTAGACCTGCAAGAAAGGGCAATAAGCATTAGGTAAGGCTTGAATTTGAATTTTTTCACTTATTAAAAGAGTACTTTTTTGTAAAGCAAGGTAAGAGTAATCTTTTTGATTTGCAGGTTGAATGAGAATCCTTCTTGCCTAAATGAGGAATGTCTTTCCTACCATCTTAAATACGAAGGTTTCTGGCTGGGTAAGGTTTGTAGCTCACAGTAAAACCTGATGACACCATTTGTTTCCCTACAAATTCATATTACACATTTAAAACTACTAGGTACACTAGTAAAATTGTTCAGCTGAAACTTAATTTTGGAATCACATCCAAAACATTTATAACAGTTTTTAAAACTTTCCAGCAAATAACCATGAGTGTTCATGTTGAGTGGCATGTGGCCTCATGTACATAATTCATTGTTGGTGTCTTTAGGGTAAAGTCAGTTTTTGATAAAGGGAGGTGACCTCAAGTTATGCCGTTTTGTATTGTAATAAGCATGACTTACTTAAACAGAAGCATTGAGCCTGCCAGTCTTCGTTCTAGGAAAAACCTTGGGATGAACTTTTTAAATTGCCAGTTGACAGAAATTAAAAATGGTCTTCATTCATGTGGCCTCATATATAAATTACATATAAAATCAGGAAATTTAGATGAATTATTTAGATAAATAATTTGGTTCTTTTTAGGTTGGTTTTTTTGGGGGGAGGTGTGTGTGTGTATGTGTTTGTGTCATTTAACCTGTTAATCAGAAGCAGTGGGCACCTAGTTATTCTAATGTTCCATTTTAAAAAGAAAACTTCCCATAGAATAATTAAACTATTAATTTCTGTGCAGATCAGTTGCTGATTACACAAGGGCTATTGCTAGCTCAAGGGCTGGCTAAATATTGAAATTTGACAATTCACTTTAAAAACAACACCTGGGGGATAGATGCTTAAAATGAAACTAGTTTCTAAATTTTAAACAAATTCTTACATAAATAGGAGTAACTTTACCAGAGTTTTTCTCACAATATGACTGGCACTCTATCTAAACCAGAACTAAATTTCTACACCACTTTAGAATGAAGTGTTGAGCAAGGGAATTATTTTGATGAATTTTATTTTACAGCATGGTTTTAGTGAAGCCAATTTCCTAAGATAAACATTCTTTTTTTTAAAGCTTTTCAGTCCATCTAATTTTTTATAAAACAAAGTGATTTAATTTAAATGTAGTTACACTGTCATTACTGAAAAATGTGATGCTCTTAAATTATAGCACCAATAAGCAAAGTTCATAAGGGAAATGGTCAAGGCAAACTTTGTCAAAGCAACTCAAGGTTACTGCTTTCCACATCATATTTTTAAAACACAACCAAAAAAATCCTACCTTTACACACAAACACACGTCCTAATGAATAAAATTTGGTAATAAAGACCATTTGTTAAGGAACTAAACAATTGAGATACGCTTGGTTTTGAAGAGTTCCAATCTAGAAGTCACAATTTGAAACATTTCTCGTTAATGACAGTATCTTGGATTTCCAGTAATTACGTCACAAAGTATAGGGAAAAGCATGCTAATGTACAGGGGTAACATATTAGCCTATGTGAGTATTCAAAATTTTATATTTCAATGACTTGATTTTTAAGACTTAAAAAGGTGGTTTGCAATGGATTCAAATGTTTCATTTGTAGGATAATGAAATGTTTACAGAGAGCTAACTTTTTCATTAAACTATTTTTAGAAATGTGTGTGTTGTTTTGTCACTTCAGTGTCCGTGAAACTTAAATGCTATAGGTGAATATGACATACTTAATAAGTAATGATTTGAAACTTGGGAAAGTGGGTTCTATTCACTGGAAAACATTGACCTGGGAAATAGGCATGGGAAAATATCTTAAACAGAAAGCTTACTGCCACTTACAGATTTAAGCCTTGAAAAACAGTATGTACATACTTAGGTGATATGGGAGGGATCAGTGATTTATTGGTGGAGGGGAAGAATGTAGTTAAGGATAATTGAGCAAGTGAAAAACAGTTTGGGAGGATGAAAAGGGGACTCCTTCCACACAGTATTAGGTTTCCTATAGTCATTGGATTGACTGGTTGAAATTTTGTGCTGTGATGGGTTGGGCAAAAGCTTTCATGAGACCAAGTAGTTTTAAACGTCAATGTTGCAACTCAAACCAAATAAAGCCACCTGTTAGTTTGAACAGTTTTTGAGTTAGGATTTTGATAAGTGTGACATAAAAATATAACAAGTTACGTGGATTAGCATTAGCTGTTAAAATGGTAAGTGAAATAATTTGTGAATTGAGTCTTACATGGGACTGGTAGCTGTTAATTGGGTTGCAACACATTCTGTATTCAACACTGGTTATATTCTATGCAGTGGTTTTATATTCTGCAGCTGTAAGTACCTTATTAATTCCAGTTAATACTTGAATCCAAAACAACTCTTGCATTTCCACCAAAATGTTTTCTCAGAATGAAAGTATTAATTGAAACTAGGCAAGAAGAAAAATTGGAATCCTACATGTACTCAATACAGACAAATTAAATTTTTGATGATCAGTGCTACTTTTGCAAAGAATGGGATCCTGTTAATATTAGGTTGACTTAGAATTAAAAAGTACCAAGGATAAAGAGAGTAAGGTAATAGGTAAGATAAATCACATTTGCCCATCATGTTTTTGGACAGGTAATGGCAAAGATGTATTGAGAACTGCCTTCATGTGATAGAAGTAAAATGGGCACAGTACTGAAAATCAGCTAGGAAGAAGGAATTTACCCATATTCAACTTGTAAACTTCATTGATAAGTAATGGATAAATAACATACAAGGGTGTTGACAGCTTTACAAATACTTCAGAAGAGTCAAGTTGTTAAATTTCACTATGCCATTTCAGTAAAAGGGTTTCATAATTGGGATAGCTGATTATAATCAGGATATATGGAAAGTTGCAAGGTAATTTTTAAAAATTGTGTTGGCCCATGCATTCTATCAAAGTAATGTAGAAGGAACTGATAAATTTTCTGTTTGGATTCCATCTTCTATTACACCTTTATTTAATAGGTACTGGGAGAAATGTAATGGGTAGGTTTGTGTCTACAGTAAAAAACTTAAAAACTTTAGTTTTGTGAGGTTGGGCAAGTTGTTTGGGACTTAAACTTTATGCCATGTGATCTGTTGGTAGTTTGATGATGCTAGTTGACCCCCTTAGTATGTTGATTTCATATGTATTAAATATGTAGAATTAAACATTACATTGGAAATAGCAAAACATTTGATTTAGTAAATGTGCCTTAAACAGGAGGCTAGTGGTGGGTCTGATGTCTAACTTTGAATTGATTTTAAGATATTTGGCAAAGTAATCTGATTGTTAAAGTTGTGATTTTTTTTTATAGTAGTTCTGTGTATACCATTTGTGGTTTGCTGTCTATAATGAAGGAATGTTGAATTTTACTAGTGTTACTGAAAATAAAGTAACTTCTTCCAATCAAAATTCTCTGCCCTAAATTCTGTCCAGTTAAAAACTTTTTATCTACCTCTTTGGTGGGTGTGGGTAGGGATTAGAAAAGTAAAATGGAGCTAATACCCACCTTCATTGAGTGTAATGGTTAAATGTAAAAATGAATTTAAATGAGCTAAACCTAGTGCCTGGTCCATGATCTCTAAAAATAGTATTTTTGGTAATTAATGTTATTGCCTTAAGAATATCCTGAAGCAAATCTGAAGTTTTATTAGGTGATAATTATGCCAGTGTCTCTCTACAAGTGATTAGTTTTTATGACATTTTTTTCCAAGTGAAATTGGCTAAGTATCCTTAAAATAGGGATGAGAATTGTATATGTTGGAGGCTTAAAAGCAAACGTATGGGTAGAGGAAATACTATAAAATACATTTGAGCAGCCATCCCCTCCCTTAAAAGCATAGGCTTGAGAAAGCAAAATTTTTAAAAATATACTAAATGCAGTGTTGAGGAATTAAGGTTTCTAATAAAATGTTTGTTCAGCCCTGGCCTGAAGATGGATAGAGCATCATCCCAATGTGCTAAGGCTTCAGGTTCAAACTTTGCCTTAGACGAGATAAACCAGTGAATGCATGGATGAAGGGAACAAACCTCTAAAATAAATAAAAGGCCTAACGATTACCCAGTCAGGACACACAGCTCTCACATTTCAAATCCAGATCAAGAAATAAAAACTTGGTTGTTTTTTTTTTTACTTTTTAGTCATAGGTAAGTTAAGATTTGTTTTACACAGACCTCAGATTGTGGATCTTTTCCACAGTATGCAGTAAAGTGAGCAGTAATCTTTGGTGGTGGATGGTCTTGCTTTCAATTTGTAAATATTTAAAGTGCAATAAAGTGAAGCACTATAAAACAGGTGTGCCAGTATTTAAAAGGCTTAGTTTCTAATAAAGTATACAGTATGTTCAATAGTTAAAAGTAAAAATTTTTTTGTCTTCCACAATTGAAGTCATCACCACTATAACAAGAGGAAGTTTAAAAAAAATTTTTTTTCATTGATTTCAGAGAGAGAAACATTGATGACAGTTACCATTGATTGGCTGCCTCCTGCACTCCCCCTACTCGAGATCAAGCTGGGAACCTGGGCATGTGCCCTTGACCAGAAGGGAACCTGGGACCTTTCAGTCCACAGAGCCAAATGGGCTATGGCCGGGAAGTTCTTGATCACAGAAGGAAGCTCAGCAGAATCTTCACATTTAAGTCATTTTCAATCTGAGTTTCCCAGTCATCAGTCAAGTTAATTTGACTTGTTTCTTTCACTTGAAATCAAAAGGCACCCTAATGTAAGGCTAAAGAAAATGAGAAAAGGCCCATTAATAGTGTGTAGATACAGTGTAGTAACTGTAAGCTCAGACAAGCCTGTCTGCTTTGAGTTCCTGGAGGTTATTCTAGAATGGTAGCAAGCCTAGGCTATCTGGCTTGAGCATGTGGACCTCTGAATGGCCTCTAATGATTAAGTCTGAATAATTTACCTAGTGCTTATTCTAAACATGCTTAACCCTACATTTCCCTACTTTAAAATAAAACCAAGCCGAAACCGGTTTGGCTCAGTGAGGTAGAGCGTCGGTCTGCGGACTGAAAGGTCCCAGGTTCGATTTCGGACAAGGGCATGTACATTGGTTGCGGGCACATCCCTGGTAGGAGATGTGCAAGAGGCAGTGGTGGATGTTTCTCTCTTACCGACGTTTCTAACTCTCCCTCTCCCTTCCTCTCTGTAAAAAATCAATAAAATATATTTAAAAAAACGACATTAGGTGAGGAGATAGTGGATCAATGCTGTGGTTTATTCAGCAGCAGAATGATTTTGTTTTGAGGGGGTCTTGGTTTTTCACATTTAATCTCAATATGTGAGATGAAACTGATTTTAAGTGAACTGATTTTTCTTACCTAGATCTTACTCTAGTGTTTGCTGTCTCTTGGCAACTCAGTTCTTAAAGGTGTTTTAAGTCCTTGACTCCACTTTCATCCCACATCCATCTGTCAGAAAACCCATTTAGTTTCACCTTTGAAACAAAATCCTATGCCCTCATTATCACCCCAAGACACCATATTCCATTACTGCAAAGCCTCCCCATTGGTCTTGTTCCCACCTTTACCCTCTAGACCAGCGGTCACCAATTGGCAATCTGGTGGTCCATGAGGTCTGAAAGGTTGGCAACCGCTGCTCTAGACTGTTCTCAGAACAAGGCAGGGGAGACTTAAAAATCAGATGTTACTCTTGGCACCTCCCCACTTTGCTGGGTAAAAACCAGTCTTTATGAAGGCTTAAGAGAGCTCTGCCACGTTCACTCTACCCATTCACCTCTTCCCTTCCGTGTCCCCCTACCCCCCACCCCATTTTCAGCCATATAGTCCTTGTGGGTTTTTTTCAAACTGGGTTCAGAGCCTTTGGACTTGCTCTGTCCTGTCTGAAATACTCTTTACTCAACAGAATGGGTTTCCTATGCAGTCTCAATGAGGTTTTACCCTATTTCAAATTGCAATGCGTTTTACTGGTCTTCCCAATCCTTTTGCACAGTGTAGTATTATACATTTGCTATCTTTCCCTAGTAGTTCTAGGAGGATGGGTTTCTGAACAGTTTTCATGTCAAGTAGAACACTTTACTTGGTTGAGATAAACCTGATGTTGAAATGATAAAATAGCTTCTCAATACACCTTTTTTCTATATTTCTAGCACTAGAAGTTTAGTATAAAAATGCATATTTTCATCCTGGCTGGTTTGGCTCAGTGTCTTGAACTTGGGTCTGTGGACTATAGGTTCCCAGGTTTGATTCCAGTCAAGGGCACGTACCTTTATTGCAGGCTCCTGGTGCTAGGAATACAGAAAGGTGATGTTTCTCTCTGTCTCTCTCAAAAAAAACAAACAAAAAACCATCACACAAAACCAATAGAAATAAAACAAACCAATGGAAAAATATCAAGTGAGGATTTTTTTTAAAGCATATTTTCAATGAAAGCATTCTGAAAATGAAAAACACCTAAATATGAGCATGTGATGTCAATGAAAATACCTTGAATAAATTCAAATGAATTACAAATAATTTAAGTCGTATTCCTTTATTAGTACCAGCTTTTCAACTAGTTTTATTTTTGCCAGAGCTAAACAATTTAATATAAAAAATGCCATTTTTTTTGTTCATATGATATTTATTAAAAAAGTACATAGTGGTTAGTTTTACAATTTGTTTTTAGCCAGATGTCAAAACATATAAATCTATGAATGTAACAAATGAGATAAGAACAGTATAAATAAGTTTTTGTAGTATTTACAGGTATACAGAAACTAGCCCAAATGGTGTTCTAAGAAATTAAGTTTGCAGTAAAAGGGAAACTGATTTCCACATACTGAGAACAGTTTAATGCTTTTAAAGTTTTGTATTATTTTCTACACTAGTTTTGACTATAATTTTGCATAGAATTATAAAGTATATTTCTGCATTTCACATCACAGTAGGAGCTTTAGTATATATAATAGTATAAAAAAAACAAAAACAAAACACTAGCTCAGAAAAGGGTCAGACCTTTCGATATCTAGGTTTTCTTGACATCTGGCCTCTTACTCTTGGGTACAAGGAATACATTGCCATCTCTCGTCTGCTGCAGGGAGTATTCACTAGGAGAGTAAGGTTTTCCGTCTTCATCTCGGAGCATGCTGAAGACTTCTAGGTATAAGGTGCTGAGTTGTTTTTTCAGTAGGTGGAGGTTTCTGTCATTTTCTCCTTTTTCTTTGAGCAATTTTTCTTTTTCATCTTTTAAATGATCCAAATCTTGCTCCAGTTCCACTATATTTTCCAGTTTTCTTTTTCTGCAATTTTGAGCAGCCACTTTATTCTTACCCCTCCTACGTATATCTCGAATTAATGCAAGTTGAGCCTCATTGAATTGTTCCTTGGACATCATTTCATTGAAATCATCAACAGGGAGGTTAATTATTTTTTCTACAGGGAATGGGATATGGAGAGCTTTTGCTCTTAGCTCATCTCTTGTGAGATGAGCCTCCAAGCGACTTGAATGTTTATCTTTTGTGAAGGGGGTTTTGCGATGACCAGGACTTACCGGCAATTCTTTCTTTTGTGTGTTTTCACACTGGGCATCATTTACTGGGGCACTGTGCCCCCGAGATGGTGACAGGGGCTGAATTGTCTCCCCAGGAGTCTGAACTGGCTGTGTTTTAGGACCTCTGTGTTTGACACTGCCAGGGGCGCTGTCTGTCTCTTCCATTTCAGAATCACTAAAGCCAAGTGGTGTGTCTCCATAGCCAGAAGATTCCACTGAGTGTTCTGGTGATGCCATGCTGGGGCTTGTGTTGGGTGAAATACCAGAGTCAGAATCATTGAATTCTGCTGTGCTTTCAGGGTGGTTCTGATTGAAGGCTTTACAAAGTGATAGATCAGAAATATCAATGGGCCCATAAAGAAGTTCAGAGAGGGACTGGCTGAAAGTAGCCGAGGAGGACATGTTGTTGATACTGGGCTCTGCTACGAAAGCAGAATAAAATTCATCACCAAAATCCGTATTTATGGTGGCATTTGAATTTAATGAGTTCACTGTCAGTTGGCTAGGGTCTTCTGTGGTGAGGATGCTGCTGAAGGAATCTTCAAAAGCATCGAGAAAAGGTGGACTACAGTTACCTACTTCTTTTTCCAGTGTAGGGATCGATGAGTAGAAATGGTAACTGTTGTCAATGTCTGCCTGTTTGGTTTCTGGACTTGGAACCGTGCTAGTCTCAACCAGCTTGTCATTTTGAATATTAAGACACTGCATGGAAAAGAAGTTTATATTCTGTAAATCAAGGTTAAATATTTTCACTACCTGATAATCTATATCTGAGTTAAAACTCCCCAACCTCCATTCTCTCCAAGCTGTTTTCTTCTATAATTCAGAGAGAAATACCCATTTTCAACAGATATTTATTCCTAAGCATCTGTATTATTTTCAGAGTTTCTAGGTCAGACCTCAGGCTTACAGCTTA